GATGTGGTTGTGCGGGTGGCAGAGCAGAGGAGAGAGTGAGTGTGCGGGCATAAAAAATACACAGCAGAAGCTGCCAGTTCCTGGCATAAAGTGCAGGCATAAAAATCGCAACAGAATCTGCTATCTGTACCCAGCCAGGCATTTATTGACTGACTTTTTTTTCCTCCACTCCATCTGCCAAATCAAGCTATCCCTGTGCAGTTTTCAACTTTTTCCTTCTAATGCAGATTTCCAATAAACTACATCTTTTACTGCCAATATTGATCCCAAAATGTCCAGGAAAAGAAAAGTTGACGGTGAAGGCAGACAATTTAATGACAAATGGGAAAATGAATACATGTTTGTGCTTAGAGAGGGCAAACCAGTGTGTATATTGTGTTATGAGACAGTGTCGGTGATGAAAGAGTACAATATACGTCGTCATTTTGACACCAAACATAATGTTAAGTATGGCAAATATACTTTGGAAGAAAAGCATAAAATTGTTAAAGAACTAAAAGGCAAACTACAATCACAGCAGCAAATGTTTACAAAGGCTACAGCGAAAAATGATGCTGCAGTGAAAGCAAGCTTTATAGTAGCTGAAGAAATTGCCCGCACTTCAAGGTGTTTTTCAGAGGGTGCCTTTTTGAAGCAATGCATGCTAAAAGTGTGTGAGCAAATATGCCCAGACCAGATACAGAGTTTTCAAAATGTCAGTTTGTCAAGAAACACCATTGCAGATAGAGTTCAAGAACTCTCAGGAAATCTATCATCACAGCTGGCCAAACAGGCATGCAGTTATCTCGCTTTTTCACTTGCTATTGATGAAAGCACAGACAACACTGATACAGCGCCGTTGTCCATCTTTATACGTGCTACGAAGACCGACCTCTCTGTCACTGAGGAACTTTTGGATGTAGCTGCCATGCATGGGACGACGACTGGTAGAGATATATTTGAGGCTGTGGAGAAATCTATAAATAATTTTAAATTACCCTGGGAAAAGTTGGTGGAGCTAACTACCGATGGCGCACCTTCAATGTGCGGAGAAAAGAAAGGCTTGGTTGGACTAATGAAGGAAAGAATGCAAAAAAGTCACTGCCACACACCCTTGATTACTTATCATTGCATTATCCACCAAGAGGCTATGTGTGGAAAAGTTCTGGACATGAATGACATAATGACCACAGTCATTAAAACTATTAACTTTATACGGGCACGTGGCCTGAATCATCGCCAGTTCCAGCAGTTTTTACAGGAGGTGGGTGCAGAGCAGGGAGACGTGCCATACCACACAGAAGTAAGATGGCTGAGCAAGAGCGCAGTCCTCAAAAGATTTTTTGAGCTCAGAGAACAAATTGCTCTTTTCATAGAAAGTAAAGGAAAGCCCTTGCCTGAACTGTCGGATCCCGCCTGGCTATGTGATTTTGCTATGATGTGTGACATATGCGAGCATCTCGCCCAACTGAATTTGAAGCTGCAGGGACGCAAACAAGTCATCACGAAGATGTCTGACATGATCACAGCATTCCAGCATAAACTTCAACTATGGAAGTCCCAACTGGAACAGGACAATCTTGCCCACTTTCCCGTTTGTTTGAGTATCTCAACCACTATTTCTGGTACTTTTCCTTGCAGTCGGCTGGCTACCAAAGTTAGCCGTTTACTAAGTGAATTTGAGCGGCGCTTCTGACTTTAGAACACAGCACTCAGGCTTTGACATCTTTGCCAATCCTTTTACAGTTGATGTCAACAATGTGCCCCATCACCTTCAGATGGAGATAATCGAGCTTCAGTCTGACAGTGGCCTGAAATCAAGGTTTCAGGATGTTGAAATTGAGGACTTCTACCCTCTACTGCCCCCTGACTCAATGCCAGAGCTCCGACTTCATGCTGCCCGTATTCTATCCATGTTCGGGAGCACCTATCTTTGTGAACAGATGTTTTCAATAATGAATCTGAACAAAAACAAGCACATATCACGCATTACCGATGACAACCTCCATTCTGTTTTGCGGGTTGCTACAGCCCAAGAAATAAAACCGAACATTGACTCATTGATCCAGGGAAAACGGTGTCAGACATCTAGCCAGAAAACAAAACAATGAGCATTTTAGGTACATTCCAATATTACTGTTTTGCTTGATACCAATATTACTGTTTTGCTTGATAGCATGTGAGTTGGTTAACAGCACTGTTAAGGAAAAGATTGTTCCACTCATTTTAAATTCACATTTCTGGTTAACATTGTCAGTTTATGACTGTTCAGTAAACCATTCGGCCCGCGATTTAGGCTGGATTTTAGATTTTGGCCCCTTCTCTGATCGAGTTCGACACCCCTAATCTAGAGGAAGTGTAGAATGATATAGACTTAACAAGGAACACAATGGAAGGTTTCTATGGGAGACTAGAAGAGGCTAAGGGCCAAATCAGCCATATTGAAGATAAGGTAGAAAAAATTTCACCCAACCATGGCAGCAACTGGAAAAAAAATAGAAAGCAGCAAGATAGTCTAAGACAGATCTGGGACAACATGAAATAAAACAACTGTCACATAATAGGGATGCCGGGGCGACCCACTGGAAGGGCCCTCAGGCCCCACTCTGAGAGCGAGGCCGCCGCTGCCCAGCCAGGCTCGTACACGCAGACCGAGCCCCGCCGGAGCCTCCGCTCCTACCAGACGCCGCCAGGGGCCCGCGCTGCCACGCCGGCCCCACTTCACCAGCTCCATCCTGGGGTGCCGTGCCGCCCGCCGGCACCAAAATCAGACCTGGGAAAGGCTCCCGTCACTTCCCCTCACTTGAGACTTCAGCTCACACTGGTCTCCTGCACGCTGGCGTGCTCACACACCGACTTCCCTGAGAGATATTGGGTACATCTCCCACTCTCTGGCCCGTAGTCCTTAATGGCGCGTCTTGCAGACATGTTTGGGCACCACCGATAGAGATCCTACATCTCTTCAGAGCCAGCTACCACAAGCACACAGACACATAGACACAGACACACAGACACCCATCTCGGCCAATGAGGCTCTCCGAATTTGGGGTCCCTCAAAGTCTTGGGGAACCCGGAAAATCCAGGATATGGTAAAAATGAAGTTACAAAATTTGTATAAAAACCTTTCTTACATTCCACGATATTGGCTGGGCTGCATGTGGCCTGTGGGCCGTGAGTTGGACATGCTTGCTATATAACACATACATAAGTGTGGTTTATTTAAGGCAGTCAGACGTCATTCTTCTTTAAAAAAATATTTTTATATATTTCAGAGAGGAAGGGAGAGGGAGAAACAGATAGAAACATCAAAGATGAGAGAATATCATGGATCGGCTGCCTCCTGCACGCCCCCTGCAATCCATCGAGCCTACAACCCATGCATGTGCCCTTGGCCTGAATCTAACTCAGAACCCTTCAGTCTGCAGGATGAAGCTTATCATTCATTTTTTAAAAATCTTATAAAATTATCATTTTATTATTCAAAAAAACATGAACCAGTTATAATTGAAGTGAAAAAAAATTTCTGGGGGGGATGGGGAACTAGATACTTTTCATTTTAAATCCTCACCTGTGGATATGTTTTTATTTATTTTTTAAAAAAATATTTTATTGATTTTTTTACAGAGAGGAAGGGAGAGGGACAGAGTGTTGAGAAAGAAACATCTATCAGCTGCCTCCTGCATGCCCCCTACTGGGGATGTGCCTGCAACCAAAGTACATACCCTTGACCGGAATCTAACCTGGGACCCTTCAGTTCAAAGGCCAATGCTCTATCTATTGAGCCACACCGATTAGGCTGGATATTTTGTTACTGATTAGAAGAGAGAGGAAGAGAGAAACATCTATCGGCCACCTCTTGCAACCTAGTTATGTACCCTGACAGCAATCGACCCTGAGACCTTTCAGTGTATGGGGAAGCACTCCAACTACCTGAGTGACACCAGCCAGGGCGAAATGTGATACTTGAAGTTTATGCGGTTGAACTTCAGGAAATTTTGTGAGAAGAGGAAGTTTTGAAATAGAAGCATAATGAGGAGGAAGTTCCTATATTGGGTGTTTACATTTATTTTAAATCCACAGTATCTGTACTAATAAAAGGGTAATATGCTAATTAGACCAGGAGACCTTCCGGAAAAAGCCATGGTGGTGGGGCCTAGGCAGAGGCAGTTAGGGGTGAGCAGGCCAGGAAGGGAGGGAAGTTGGGGTGAATAGGACAGTGGGGGGGAGGGGAGGGAAGTTGGGGTGAATAGGACAGTGGGGGGGAGGGACAGTTAGAGGCAAGAAGGCTGGCAGGGGGGCAGTTGGGAGAGAGCAGGCTGATAGGCAGAGTGCTTAGGAGCAATCAGGTAGGCAGAGAGGTGAGTGGTTGGGAGCCTAGGTCCCGGATTGCTATAGGAATGTTTGACTGCTTGCAGTTGGACATCCATCAAGGGGTCCCAGATTGGAGAGGGTGCAGTCAGAGCTGAGGGACACCCTCCCATGCATGAATTTTGTGCACCTGGCTACCAGTGTTTCATAAAAGGAGATGACATTCAAGTAAGAAGGTCCCAAAGTATTTCCGTCAGTGTTGTCATTCTGAGCAAGATATAAAATATTCTCTGGACATTTAAGGCGTGTCTAACCAGGGCATATTTGTAGATAAAATATTTCTTACATACATTACACTCAAAACATTTTTCTTCAGTGTGAACTCTATGGTGTTGGTTGAGGTTGGACATGTATCTGAAGGATTTCCCACAATCACTACACTCAAATGGTTTTTCTCCAGTGTGAATAAACTCTGTGCTGTTGAAAGAGGTTACCAGTTTGACTGAAGGACTTAACACAATCACTACATTATGCGACTTTTCACCAGTGTGAACTCTTTTCTGGTTAAGGAGTTGTACTATTGTGTCTAAAAGATTTTCCATATTTGGTACACTCATAGGTTTTCCTCCAGTCTGAACTTTTTGATGTTCAATGAGATTACAGCTAATGCGTAATGACTTATCACTATCGGTACACTCATATAGCTTTTTTTCGAGTGTGGACTTTCTTTTGGTAAAAAGGAGATTCTTATGCCTAAATGATTTCCCACATTCACTAAACTCAAAAAGTTTTTCTTCTGTGTAAACTCCATGGTGTTCAGTGAGAGAAGCACTTTGATGAAAGAGCTTCCTAAAATCATCAATCTCAAAAGACTTTTTTTTTTTAGTGTGAACTCTCCTGTCAATTGAGGTTAATGTCACATCTAAAACCTCTCCCACATTTGTGATACTCATATGTCACTCCACCAGAGGAGTCATCCTGGTGTTGAACAAATTTATATCTGTGGCTTGCAGCATTTTTACATTTGTCCCATTGGCAGTCAGTTTTTCCACCTATAAATTTCTGTGAAAACTCACTACCATTGTGAGGTTGCCTGTGCTAAGAGATGCCTGGGGCTGCAGCAGCGCTAAGATGGATGAGAAGTCTTTCCCAGGCTCCCTAGCGGTTGAAGGCACCCCTGAGATATAGCAGCTGCATCTGCACACAAATGATGTGGAGAGGAGTCCTGACCAATTGCTTCTTTCCAGGACTTCTCTCCACAGACATCCCTATGTTGCTGATGATGGTTTACATGGAAACAGAGGCTCTAACACATGTGTCACTGAAGAAGACTTTATGCTCAAAGTCTTCTGCTTGTGACTCAGTCAGGTTCAGACTATCTTTCAAAACTGAGAAAAGCCGCTTACAGAGATGGGTCCTCTGAGTTGCTGGAGCTCTTGGAAGCCATGAATTTTGCATCCACTTGTATAGATGCACTCTCCTCAGAAGAGGCCTCCTCCTGATCCATTTTATGCCAATATCCTGAAAACAGAAATATGGCGAGGAAATGGATGTTTGACTGCTGACACGGGGATGTCCCATTACAAAAGTGTGTTGCTTTTGGCTTCATGCAACTGGATGAAAACAAAAAGTTTCCAGGAAGGATTTATAGGATGCTGCAATGAATTCTAGGCTACGGAAGATCAAAAACAAGGAAGACCTCAAATGAAATATGACACAAGTATGGCAAGTGGCACATAGAACAGAAGAGGGAGGACCACCTGCTCATTCCTCTGCTAAAAGCATTCAGCAGAGATTGTCTGCTGGTGACATGGGCACATAAAATTTAATAAAGGAATAGCTTGTGTTTGAAGTCTACTTAAGCATGCATGCACACCACATTACGCATGTGCAGGTCAATGTTGGAGAATACTGCAGAGAAAGCCTTGCATGGGCCAGGAGATGCAAAACGGCCACAAGGTGAAGGTAGTCAAAAGCCAGGAAGTCACAGATGAAATGACAAGTCAGAAAAGTGTGATGTATGGGATAGAAAAGAGAAATGGACTCTTACCCTTCTGTTTGCAGACTGATGCTCTATCCACTGAGCCAAATTGGCCAGGGCCCTGAATGCTGGTTTTTAAAAATTGATATAAGTACCTGAGTCCAGGAAGCAGAGAAAGGGGAGTTCCTGGGGATGGTGGTGGGGAAGAAGGGATGTAGGAAATTCGGGGTGTCAGTGTCTTCAGTGGCAGAGGAGCACAGGCCACACTCAGGGCCACATGCAGTGAACATAGGCTTCCGGCAGACCCTCCCGCAGGGCACACCTGGCCCCAGTGTAGGCATCTCACCTTTTGACTTGGCTGAGGAGGAGATGGACACATTGAGTGTGCTGGGACACCTTCTCAGGGGCTGGGGCCTGAAATTTCTTGTGTCCAGAGTGGAGGCGGCCGCGATTCTGTAACACACACACACATAACACACACACACACACACACACACACACACACACACACACACACACGTTGTAAGATGTGTCAGCTGAAGCCAAACAGCATCCCACACACGCTGGCTCTGCCTTGAGGAGCCTACACACTGAGGGGAGAGGTGGGGGTGACTTTTATACCCTGACTCTGGAGTAGCCCAAAGTGCTAGAGGTGACACTTGGAGATATCAATGTTCAACCTTGCCTTGGAAGAGCGTCTATTGTGAAGTTGGTCTTGGCAGTGGGCAGTGATCACCTGGGAGTTAAGCACCAGCAGGACCCTGTCAATGGGAGGGGCTTAGATCATGTAGGAGGGGCTTAGCTCCTATGTGACCAACAGGATCCTATCAGTGGGAGGGGCTTACCTTTTGTGGGAGGAGTGTAGCTCATGTGGGAGGGACTTTGCTCCTGTGTGACCAGCAGGTTCCTGACAATGAGAGGGACTTAGCTCCTGAGTCAGCAGCAGGATCCTGACAGTAGGAGGGGCTTAGCTCCTCTGTGACCAGCAGGATTTTGCCAGTGGGAGGGGCTTTTATGTTCTGTCTCTTTTTTTCCGGGAAACAAAGACAGAAAATGAAATGCTGCTCCTTTGTGCTCCCATTGACCACCTGACTACAGAGGGGACACCTTGCTGATCAGACACCACTTTTCCCTTTGTCAGAAGGGTGTTGATATAAGCCAAAACCCCTTCACTTATATTCATTATGCTAGTCCTATGTAAGACAATTTTGTGTTAACCAAACCTGGCCAAACAATAGGGTAGATTTGTGTTTTTGTTTTGTTTTTTGTTTTGTTCACCCCTCACTTTAATGCACAGGGTACCATACATACTTCATAAGATATCACTCATTCTCAAAAAAGTGTTGAGTAGCCAGGCGGCCATGGTTCAGTGGTTGAGCATCAAGCTATGAAGCAGGAGGTCACGGTTCATTCCCAGTCAGGGCACATGCCCAGATTACAGGCTTGATCCCCAGTGGGGGGCATGCAGGAAGCAGCCAGTCCATGACTCCTCTCATCATTGATGTTTCTATCTCCCTATCCCTTCCTTTCTGAAATCAATAACAATATATTCTTTAAAAAGAAAGAGAGAGAGAGAGAGAGAAAGAGAGAGAGAGAGAGAGAGAGAGAGAGAGAGAGAAAGAAAGAAAGAAAGAAA